TTTACTTCAGAAATTATTTTTTATCTAATTTTCTCTATACCTTTCTGCAGTTGTTTCATTACTTCCAATGTTATTATTTCAGAGATTTCAAGTGTGTGCTTTCCAATTTATTCTATGCTAGTGTCTCCTGCTATTGTCCTGGGTGGGCTCAGGGCCTGAGAATGCATTTTGCTCCTTCTCTTTGTCATTTTGCATAGCATTGTCTTCTGACCTTTGGTGTAGAGCTTAGATAGAGTTATTACCTTAGCACCATGTCGGAATCTACCAAGTTCAAACTCGTCCAGGTAGGTGTGGCTTAGGCCTAGCTGCTGTGCTTCACTTCTTCCTGCTGCAGCCCTTGGATATGTACCCTCTGTGCCTCTCTGGCAACATGTTCTGCTCCTGGATCATGTGGGTGGGTCTTGCCTATAGCCTGTGTGTGGGGAGTTCTGCTGCAGGGTTCCACACTGGGCCTGTCTAATGGAGGAAGATCCATTGCACGCCAGGCCTGGGTGCTGGCTCCAGTAAGGATCCAGAGGGCCCTGGGGGTTTCCCACTCACATGCCGGGCCTGGGCTCCGGGTTGAAAGAGCTAACTTTTCTGAACTTGATGTCCTTCCCTGTAAATAGTAAACTGTAGGTGAAGGAGTCCAACCATAGCCATCCTCGGCAGACCAGAGACCACGTTGGGCCTCTTTGGCACCCCTGAGCTTTTACCTGCTAAAAGTGTGTATAGCTGTGGCCACACCCTTAGCTGCCGTCCACCTTCAGCCCTGCGCTCTGCGGGCACCTGGCACGCACTGTGCTTTCTCAGGCCTCCTCCCTGGCGCGTAGCCACAGCTCCTTCTCACTGAACTCTCCCCCTGGAAGGTCCCACTTGGACTTTTTCTTTTCACAGCCCCCTTTATGCTCATGACCCTGTGAAAGTCTTCATAGCCTGCACAATAGTCGTTGGTCTGGTCTAAGTTGGGAAAGGGGCTAGGGGGTTTGTGTCCCTCTCAGACTTGTTCTGAAATAAACCAGACCTTTGTTTTTTCCTTCTTTTCCCTAACAATATGGTTTGAAATAGATTGTGAATACAAACATATTTGGGAAACTAGAATTGTTTAATACTAGTTTACAGTGCAAAAGGTGGGAAGCCTCAATGTTGTATTTGATCATTTATTGACATTTTGTGTTGAAGGGAAGTGGGTAACTGATGTAAAACTGGTTAAACCAGAGACAGTATTTTGGATTCACCTGTCCAATGCTCCCCCTCCCCCGCATCTTTTCTGTTCCAGGTGGTGATTTAGCCAGACTTTTGTGTGAGGGGTTGTAGTTCACATTCCGGCTGCACTACTACTTCCTACTATGTGGCCTTGGACATTTTTCCAAACTTGGCTTCCTCATTGGATATCTGAAAAGCCTCTCTTGAAAAGCTGGTGTGAGAAGAACTAGAAACTGAGGCTAAGTCCCTTGCTTTGGGCAATAAAGAATTTTGCAGATCTAGAATTTAAGTGCCACAGGAGGTTGCACCAAGGCTTTCAGAAGTAGTGCGGCATATAAGCTCCTGCCTGGCAAGCACAAGGTCCTGAGTTCTATCCCCAGTACAACAAAAAAAGCACCAAGCATCCTCTGTCACAATGGCTACCAAAGCATCTCAGTCAGCGTATGGCAGCAGGGAGTGCCGGTGGCGACCTTGGCTGGCAGTAGCTGGGAGCAGCTGTGACCACTGGCAGGGCTGAGGGGTCAAGCGCGGGGATCCTGGCAGTGGCCCCCAAGAGCCCCGCAGGTAGTGTAAGTTCTGTGAGGAGAGAGTGGGCTAGAGAGGAAGATTGTAAGCAAAGCCAAGGGACACAGAAATAAAACTGGCTGAAGCTGATTTGGTTTGTTTATTTTTGGTACTGGAGATCAAACTCAGGACCTTGCACTTGTGGAAGCAGGTGCTTAGACCACTGAGCTATCTCCCTGGCCCAATTCGCATTAGGTGGGTAGAAAGGAAGACCTGCTTGGATGGAGAGAAGCAGGCACTGTGGCAAAAGTGTCTTGCCCATGTCCCTCAGCCCTGCTTTACAAAGGGCATCTCAGCCTAGCGCACCTTTGCCTTACTCACTGGACAGTGGCATTAGTCTGAGTATTATATACACATGGTTGTAGATATACACATGAATGTGGATATAGATATATCCATATATGACTCACGCATTTACGTGTATGTAATACATATGTATGTGTGTGTGGGCATGACCATAAATGCACATGAAAACGTGCAGATCATTTTGTCAATGCATTCATTTTATAGGTCAGGAAATTGAAGTACAATAACACTGAATAAACTGTAGCAATTGTTTTCAACAAAAGCAAACCTGAAATAAAATTGTTCTAAAAGAAAGTGTAGAATAATATGATTTATCAGTCTTTCTTAACACTTAATGATAACTATTCCCCATTATATACACAAACCATTGCTGACATACACTCCAAATGTTGGTGAAGACCAAAATCAAGCTATGACACAGATTTTCTTCCTTTCTCCCCTCTCGCTCCCTCTTTCTCCCTCCCTCACTCTGTTTCTTATTCTAAGCAGAAGATATTTGCCCCCACTAGCTCCCACTACTCACTCAATTTTCATAGTTCCTCTAATCACTTTTAATGAGTTCCTCTGTGCATTTTCTTGGCAGTAAAGCTGAAATTTGTCAGGAGACCTGAACTTAAGAGTAGTTAGCTGTTTTTCTCTGTGCTGTCTCATTACAGACTTTGCTTTCCTCCTAGCCATGTTTGTCAAACCCTTTTCTGGCTGAAGATCATGATTCTACAGGAAAAGTTTAAAGTTAACTTCAAGTGCTGCTGACACCTATCCCTCATTTATGTGACGCCCAACTTTTACAAAACAAGAATGAGATCCAAAAAGTATTTAACTCTACCTTGTCTGTATTTGAGGGTGTGTTTGAGTCCTCATGGCTAGGCCTATTTTGTGACCAGGAATGAACTGCGGCCACTGTTAGGGCCACATTATTGCTTATATATAGATGTCCCTCCTCATAGGTCACAGGTGGGGCTTTTTCAGAGGTGGCTGGATCTAGAGTGTGTGACGCTGGAATTGATTCACGGTGCAGTGCTAGGTCCTAGAGCCCTAGAAGTAAGGGTGTGAGGGCTGCCTGCCCTACGTAGCCTGGATAAGACAAGGATAGAAGGGGCTGTGGTCGGCACTTGCTGCTTTGCTCGCTTTTGTTTCCACAAACTGTCTCCCCTCTGTGATGGCCCTGTGCCATCCACTCTGCCTTGGAGCCAGCTGGCTATGGGCTGAAACCTCTACCAGCTGTGAGCTAAATAAACCTTCCCTCCTTTAACTTCGGGTGTTGGTTATTTTGTCTCAGCCACAAAAAAAGCAATTAAGACAGAGCAGTCAAATCTAATGAGTCAAGTGTATTTTTTATTGGCTGGTCTAGAAAAGATGAGACATTTGCTCTGTCATTTTGTATTGGAAACCAAAGCTTAAATAACTATTTGTTTTTCCATGGCTGTTTTGTTTTTATTTTTGTATTTTAGGGAAGGGTCTACAGGGTGTTCAGGGTCTCACTACTAGATCAGACTTGTAGTTATCCTCCTGTTTACAGCCTCCCAAGAGCTGGGATGACAGGCGTGCGCCACCAGGCCCAGTCTCAATTAAGGTCTCGGTGCACCCGGGGGGAAGGGGGCAGCACAGCAGGCCTGGGGACCGAATCTCCAGCCCCTGCCCCTGCTTGCAGGAGCTTCAATCTGCTGAGCTATTTGGTCAGCCCCTTCCATGGCTGTTTGAATTGGATGCTGAGACTACAGTCACTGGTGCCCTGATATTCACAAGGCTGCACTGGCAGGTGTGCGTAAGAATCATCTTTACTTGGGGCTGGTGAGATGGCTCAGTGGTCTAAAGCACCTACTTAGAACAAGCTTAGCAAAGCACAGGGACCGCGGTTCAATCCCCCAGCACCACATGCCAGCCAGCTCGGCCCCCTGGTGGGCCGAGCTGGCCACACACACACACACATACACACACACACAAATAAATAAAATTAAAAAAAAAAAAAAAAAAATTTTTACTTAAAAGACCTACCTGACCTAACAGTGCTCAGTTCTACCCAAACACATTCATGGAACATTTGTTGCTATTCCCAGATCTATTCTAGGACTCTAATAAATTGAAGTACAACCTCCATATTCTTGTAGCGCTTATGGTCTGCTAAAGAAGACATTAAATTAATAGGTATAAAATTAATTAATTAATTAATTAATAGGTATAAAATGTATTCAAGTGCGACCAAGCTGTGTGCAAATTACAGTAAAGGAAAGCAAAGGAAAAAGGAGGGCGTTTTGAGAAAAGGACATTTATAGATCGTGGTGTGAAGAAGCTAGTTTCCCTAAGGAACTAACATTGAAGCTGAGATGCCAGGTTTGCGTAGAAGTTATACAGGCAAAAAACTGAGGAGAAAATAGTTCAGGCAGAGAAGACAGCACATACAAGTGTGGAAATAGACAAAGGACCATGTGTCTGGAGCCCAGAGAGTGACAGAAATGTGACAGTGAAGGCAGCCAGGCAGGCCAGGGGCGCCCTGGAGCTCTGCTCTCTGGTAGGAGTGGAAGAAATGTAACACTGTAAGTCAAGAAAGGAAGGCCCAGGCATGGTGGTGCACGCCTATAGCCCTAGCACCTGAGAGGTCCAGGCGGGAGGATCCTTGTGAGTTCAAGACCTGTTGGGCTACAAAGTGAGCTCAAGGCCAGCTTCAACTGCATAGCAAGACCCTGTCTCAAAATGACAGAAAATAAAGATAATAATAAAGTAAAAAGAAAGAAAAGAAACATAGCTAAAATCTTTAAAACAAATATTTCCGTCATTATTTATGCCTGCAGGCAAGCTCAGGGCCTTGCCCTTGCCAGGCAGGTGCTGCTCTGCTGAGCTGCACCCTGGCCCTGATGGATCTTTTTAACAAGTTATTCACTTAGACGTAATGGCTAGAAGGTTGGGCAGGATTTATAATAAGTAACTAGTTTTTTAATGCTTTACAGGAAAGAACTTTTTATATTGTGAGCTACAGAAGGGAATTAAGGAAGTTTTGGAAGAGCTTTCTATCAAGAGAGATGAATGCCACATTAAAAACCCACCTTTAGGTAATCTCAGTGACAAATGAAATATACTTGGGAAATAAATGTGAATTACCTATTTGAAGATAGTATGACTATTTCATTTATTACAAAACTATATACCTATCAAAAGAAAAAGTAGGTTAATGGATTCTTGGGAAACTCTTGAATTTTTCTATTTTGCCTATGCCCAAGTAAAATTTTATATTTATAAAAAAATGAACTAAATATTAATTTGTACTTTGCTGTCCCATTTTATTGATGGTTATTACTATTTATAGTTTATATTTACTTATTTTATTGATACAGGGTCTTGCTATGTGGTTCAGACTTGTAGTTGTCCTCCTGCTTCAACCTCCCCAGTGCTGGGATTACAAGTGTGCCCTACCATGCCTGAGGTTACTGCTATTTAATTACAAGTTAAAAATGTTCTCTTGTGCTTGTAAAAACACAGTAACATCTTAAGCTTATCAATATAAACATGACTACTAACAGTTTTTCCCAAATTTCAGATTGTATCAGAATTACCCAGGATCTTACTAGAAGCAGATTGCTGGCGCCAACCTTGAGACATCTGGCTTGGTAGGTTTAGGGTAGGGCTCAAGAATTTATATTTTTGCCAAATAAATGTGTCACTTCAGGAAATGATTTTTTAAAAAGCAGAACAATGTAGTAGAAAGGGTTACAGGGAGACTTAGGGGAGAGGTGGCTTTCATCTTGACCTGGTGGAGGGTGGCAGCCTCTCTGAGATGGTGGTGTAGAAATGAAAGCTGAAAGAAGGACAAGGAAGACACTCAGTGGCCTGGGTGAGGGGAAGGTCCTGAAGTAGTCTTTTGCACTGTTGCTGGGCCTGCGAGAGATGGTGGGGCTGGGGTCCTGACACAGCTGCAAGACTTAAGCTGTTTCATATGTCGGTTCTGCAGGATTAGCTGATGGACTGCACATGGAGTGTGAGGACTTGACCTTACCAGCTGAGTGAAAGGGGTGCTATTTCTCGATTTGGAGAAGATGTGTTATGAGTGCGGTTTTTTTTTAAGTCTGGGGTACAGAATTAGAGCTGAGTTCTGAACGTGTTACATTTGAGAGGCCTGTCAGACATCCAAATGTAGAGTCAAGTGGGCTTTCAGCATTTGAGGGGAAAAGTACGGACTAGAAATAACACATTGGTAGCATCATTAGTACAACAGAGGTAGATATGATCACCCAAGTGAGACTGCAGGTAAAGTGCCCAGGCCAAAGAGACAGGAGAAAAACCAGGCAAATATAGTACGATGACCTAGAGACTAGATTGTGGAAGAGTTTTCAGAGAAAGAGTAAACAGTTGGGGGCCTGGCCCTAGCTCAGTCCTTTAAGTGGCTGCTTCCACAAAGCTGTCAGCCTCAGGTTGCTGGAGTTCGATCCTCACAACTCTCCCGCTGGCCAAAAGTGCCCTGAAGGCATTCGAGGAACCAAAAAAAAAAAAAAAAAAAAAGAGTAAACAGTGGTCTCAGGTGCTACAAAGACATGAGTGTAAGGCCTAGGCCACTGTTGGCTTGGACATTCAAGAGGAAGATTATTTGCAATCTGGAAAATAACAGTTTGCTTGAACTCATGGGAACAAAAGCCTAATTGGAAAAGGACACATAAAGAGATTAAGACAATGCATTGAGTATACTCATAACATCTATAGACAGCTGCCAGAGGAGCCACCCAAGTCCCTCAATGTTTTGTACAGAATTCCAGTTGTGTATTACAAAGTGTGTTTTCCAAGACTAGGAGCCACACCTATCATCAGATATTAAGGTTGGAGTGTGTCCCTGCAGACCCTGAGCTACACGGTCCAGTGGCTGGCTCAGGTTCACCAGTTCTGGGAGGTGGCTGGAGGAGGGCAGCACCTTCTCTGGTGACTGGTTCTGTGTTCTGGCTCTGAGTATAAAGCGTCTCGCCTGCAGATATGTGGGCTCAGGGAAGAGCATTAAATGCCAGGATGAGAGGAAATGGTGGTAATAATATAGTAATATAGTGGTGATCATTTATAGAAGTATCTTCTACACTTGACAGAGTGAGCTTTGTTTGTAAATTATCTTTTCAAATTCCCGAAATAGCTGGGCATGGTGGCACATGCTGTGATTTCAGCATTCAGGAGGCAGAGGCAGGAGAATCACTGCAAATTTGAGACAAGTAGAGGCTGCATAATGAGTTCAAGGACAGTCTGGACTACACAAAGACTGTCAAAAACCAAAACAAACAAAGCAAAACAAGAAAACGAAAATAAATCCAATTCCTGCAGCACCCTTTATGATGTGTGGCCTGGAATCTCAGTCCCAGCAGGCAGTGACTGGCCCAGTGTCACCTGGCTGGCGAGGGGAGTAGTTGGTATTTAAATGCAGGCTTATTGTGTCTCTCTTTACAGTCATTGATTGTGTTTACAGAGGAAATAAAGATTTGAAATGGAATTATGGATTTTTTGTTGTTGTTGTTGTTTTGTTTTTGTTTTTTTTTTTTTGCTCCGAATGCCTTCAGGGCAGGTTTGGCTGGCTTGAGTTGTGGGGATCGAACCACAGCAACCTGAGCCTGACAGCTTTGTTGAAGCAGCCACTTAAAGAACTGAGCTAAGGGGTAGGCCCCCTTGAAATTGATTTATTAGCTAATAGTATAGGGTTCTCTTCAGATAAAAAAATCTGCTATTTTTATGATTCAGCCTCAGTACAGCCTCCAGTTTCAAACCTGTGGCATGAGAGATTTCTGAGGCTTACCTATTTCTATTATATAGGGATTCAGAGCCTGGGTCTGTAAGAAAAGATTCTTGGTGTGTGTGGGTATAGGCAGGGGGGAGAGAGAGACAGAGAGACACAGAGAACATTTGTTTAACCATATATTCTAATCAGATGAAAATGAAATTGGGGGCTGCATATAGTGACACACATCTGTAATCTTAGTTCTTGGGAGGCTGAGGCAGGAGGATTGCTGCAAGTTTGAGGCCAGCTTGGGCTACATAGTGAGTTAAAGCCAGACTAAAGTCTATAGTAAGAACCTGTCTCAAGAAAACAAACCAAAAACAGGGTCAAGAATAGAGCTCAGGGACTGGTGAGATGGCTCAGTGGTCTAAAGCACCTACTTAGAACAAGCTTAGCAAAGCACAGGGACCGCGGTTCAATCCCCCAGCACCACATGCCA